ATCAGCTTTCACCAGAAGACCTAAGTGCCAAGGTGTTCTTTGGTGCCTAAATAGCTTTAGAAAAATTTTTGTGAATTGCATTTTTTTTTAATTTAGGCATCTAAATTTTTTTGTGAATCTCATTCTTTCTTCTTGTGTCACAATGGGTAGAAGATGTGCTACTGCACTGAAGACCCAGGATTCAGAACCTGGGGAGGTGATTACTGTTCTGTGTAAGAGAATTGAGTTTGGTTGGTTTTTTACCTTTAAAACAATTGGGAAATCATATATAGAAAACTGTATTATGTTTTAAAAGTTGCAAAGTCAAGTACTCATAGATTAAGAAATGCCAGATTTACAGTTGTCTGTGTAACCTTAAATTGGTCCCCTGAGTATATGCCTTATAATTTTTAACTGTATGATCATATACTTTTATTTTCCCCAAGACCCCTACTTCATTCAGAGACTGGATGCCCAAGAAAGCAGAAAGAATGTTACAAAGACCAACCAACCATAAATCTACTAGTTCAGTGTTTGACTTCACAATCTAAATTTTGTTTTAGAATCTTCTGTATGAGCTACCTTCTCCTGACTTCCATCTTTGAACCTACTTTGGTGTTCGTGTACCTCATTACGGATCCTGCCAAAATGTATTATTATAATAATAACAGGCACATACAGTAAAAATGGAAAAGAACAATTATTTGCAAGTATTTAGGGTGTCAGTGTTCATGCTATGTAATGTATTTTAATTCCAGATGGTTCTTTTTCCATTTAATGCCCATGGGTCACTAAACAAGTGGAAAATATAACAGTAATTCCTTTTTAGACTAACTATGCAGACCTCAAGAAACCCAACTGGACCCGTGGGAAGGGTATTTTAAATATATTACATAGAGAAAAATCTTTCAAAACTATTTATAACTTTATTTTAATGGAAGTACAGTTTTGAAATTGGCTCAATGAGGGTATATTTAAAAATAGAATGGAATTTTATTCCTGGTTTTGATTTGTTCAATATTACTTAAATAATGAAATGCCTTGCACACTGTAATTTCCCTAATGCTGAATTCAATACAAGATTGTACAGTATTTTATTAATTATTTCACATTTCCAGATAAATACTCATGATTTGTCAAATGACTGCATAACAATTTATGTTCTTTTAATGTGATACAATTTTCATAAAAGGTACAGGATGTACATGAATCAGTAGTTGGGCTTATTTTGATTTTGGAAATGCTCTCTAGAAGCACTACGGAATTCACATCCACCTTACTTGTCAACCATTGGTTTCAAGTTTTAGGTAGCATCAGAATATAAATGTTAAGATGAAAAAAAGGGAAGGTAAAAAATGCCATTGAATTAATGTATGTGACTTCATTTGTATTACAGCACATTCTAGAATTGTGTATAGTATCACTATAACTAAAACAAAACTTTTGGATTTATTTAAAAGTAGGTGGTTAAGGGATGTGGAGTATTAGATACTAAAGAGCCAAATCCTTTGTAGACCTTCTGTTTATGATCCGTATGTGGGCAAAAGATGTGCCTTACATATAAAAGCAACATAATTCTGAAGTTAACATGCATTATCAACAGTTTGATAATATATGCACCAAAGCTAGCAGTCAAACCAATCACTAGTTCTTGGGTCTTCAGTCTGATTTTAAGTTATCTTACTGCACTTTCATTGTATCCTGAAAGAGGAAAAAGAGTATCTCTTACTCTGTTTTCAGACTCAAATCTGCTTCCTGTTTGTGTTTTGCTCAACTATGAGTGCAGATACCCATACTCAAGGGCTTTTTGCTTGTGCGGTGCTTCATTTATCATGCAGCAAGCCCCATTATTCACTTATGGCCCTACATAATTCAGTAGTAGTGTCAAAAAGCCCTAGAAATGCATACTGCTATGGGAAAAGGAGGGATTTATAGCCCAAGAGGAGCTGGTCATGGAGTTAGGGGCCAGGCAGTTCAAAGTAGTAAAGTGCAAATTAGTCTGACCGGACAAGCTCAGGAGAGGCACCCCCTATGTAGTGTTTGTCCCAGCCAGACAGGAGGGAACCCAGAGGTCACTGTAGCTCAAAGCAGTTTTATATGTACAAAAATAAACGTTTTAAACATTTACCTTGAACATGTATAGGTTGGGAGTTTCAAAGCAGTTTAAATGATTTGACATCTTCCATCAAAACTAATAGAGAAATCCAGAGGCTTTCAGAGTGGATAGGAAAAGTTTAATCCACAGGAAAATGTACTGAGGATCCAAGAAGAAAACAAATTGTTTAAGAAGAGTGGGAACCTGAGACATAATGGTGCTAGGAAGAGAGCGTCTCCTGCTTTCTCTGCTAGGCTATTAAAGTTTCAAATGTGATCTACTGTGGTAAAAGCTTTTGCTGCCAGCTCCAGGCAAACTGCCCAGGAGTGGGTGTTTTTGGTGCTCGAGGAATTCATGATATTCTGTGAATTTTTGTCAAATAAATTGGCACAAACAAATGGAATGATATAGGTTCTCTGTAGTAACCAGTACTATGCATCTGTGTAATAATGTGCAGTAATTTTCATGCTGTGTTGGTGAAAACAGCAAAAGTTCATAGTTTGTTTCTCAAATTTCTGGCAGGATTTAAAATACAAACAAGCCCCCCCAAAAAAACAACCCAACAAAAAAACAAACCCTCTAAAATCCAGAAAAGCCAATCATTACTCATTCCAACTTCATTGAGGGTTGTTGTTTATTGGACAGCGCATTATATTAATTAACCCGGTTTCACTTATTTCTGTTCCCCCTTGTATAATGTTACTATTTAAATATAAGAATTAAGTGTTTCTTGTTTCTGAACTCTGTGTCACACTTGCTCACTTTACTGGTCAAAACAAGTTTTTTGGGGGGTTTTTTGGATGTTCATAATTCAGATAGGCACAAAAATCATTAAGTTGCACTCTTCATTCTCCACTCTCCAAATCTCACTGCCAACAATAACCATCCTGGAATTGGAACTCAGATTGTGGTATTTGGCTTTTTTTGAGAAATTAAGTTGGAAAAAATAATATGAAAAAGTTTGATTTTTAAGCACACAGCTTCTCTCTTACACAAGCAGACAAGGAGCATGGTTTTAACAGATGAAGCATGGATATACTTTACCTCTAACTCTCCATTTGCCCCCTCATGCCATCCAGCTACTCTTCTCTCTTTTTACACACTTCCAAACTGAAGTGTATCCTGCTTTTCTCATCAAAACCAAAAAATACCTATTGACTTCTTCAGTTATCACCCCTCTCTTCTGCCCTTCATCCCTGAATTATTGTAATATATCATTTTTAACCATTGTCTCAATTCCTTCTTACACTTTCCTTCTTGGATCCTGTTCCATTTGGTATCCTTCCTCCCCAGGTCATCAAAACTGCTTTAAGATGGCCAGTGCTTTTCCTGGTTGCATCTTATGGCCTCCACTCCATACACTTTTACTTGTTTGCTGCTTTTTACAGCATTGATTCCCCATAGCAATACTTTATCCTCTTTGGCTTTTTACAACAGTATACTGCGATTTTTCTTCCTCCCCAGTCATCCCTTATCTTCTGTTCCCCTTTCCAGTCTTTTTCAGAGTCCCAGAAGTTTCCATCTTTAGTCTGTTATTGCTGTTTTATAGCTCGTCACTGCATGATCTCAGCGATCAACAGCGTTCAAGGTTTCAACAGTGATCTTTACACTAGTGACTAATCTACTTCTGCTTCCGTCCATTTTGCATTTCAAGCTGCTTCTGACATATCCTCTTTGTTATCTTTTTTTTTTTTACCCACTTCTACTATGACTGGAACAACTCCATGTTCTCCTTCCTTTCAAAAATGATGCCAAAAAAGATAACAAGGTTTGCAATTGCTAGATTGAAGAGTAGATGGGAATAATTGGCAGTTGCTTTTATTTAAAAAATTATATGTGCAAATATGAATACCATTGTAAACTGGATTAACAGTATTGTGAATCAAGGCCATAATACTCGAGGCCCAATCTTGTGAATTTCAGAAGCAGTAGGATGAATGTCATAGTATGAATGTATATACAGTAAAAGCTGTGTTATCTGGCACTTTACCATCTGGAATGCTCTATTAACCGGCATCTGTCCCACTGTGGCATTTCTGGTCTCGCCGCTGTGAGCCGAGTCCTGCTTCTTCCTCATGGACCACAGCCCAGGGCAAAGCAGCCTGCATGGGACCCCACTCCCTGTCCCCTGGCACACTGACGCCAGGGAGTGAAAGCCCTGGAGCACCAGACGCAGCAGGAGGGGCGGCAGCCAAACAGGCAAAGATGCCTCCAACCCACTGGGCTGGAGATAACTCTCAGATAACCAGTACATTTGATTAACCAACACCCCTCATTCCCCATGGATGCCAGGTGACAGAGCTTTTACTGTATATTTATTTGTATTAATATACATATATAATGTGAACTGTCTTTTTGAAATCGACTTTAATTAGAACTTTGACAATATTTTCCTGCTATATATAAGTCAGCCTTATGAAATAACGTATGGTAAAACTGTCTTGCACAACTGCCACTGTAATTTTTGGATAAATTATAAATCTTGAAAATAAGCTTTCAGAAGGAAACACATACAGTTTCTTAGTTTTAACAATCACAGAAGACACTGCACACATGTAGGGTGATAACTTCCACCTTCAGTTCTAATAATATGACTTGAATTCTGTATGCACAGGTATTGATGACAGATTTTGACGAGTGATATAAAGACAAAAAGAATCTTTTTTTTTCCCTCTGCCTTCACTACAAGAACTCTAACTGTGAAGTGCAATTGAATTGTACTGTAACATGATATGAAATGCTGTCATACTGCTGGCCTCATGCTCTTAATATGTCAGGCATGTGTATTAATGACTTGTATTGAAGGGGGACAAATATAACTTGTAGTGCCGCTCTAAATAAATGGTTGCCATATCCTGAAATACATTTCTTGTTTATGACGCTATGGCACTATATTGTAACTGAAATACATTTTCCTCCAATTCAGACGGCCTGTTTCCGAGAAGAGAGGGATGTACTAGTGAATGGAGACAACCAGTGGATCACAACGTTGCACTATGCTTTCCAGGATGAAAATTATTTAGTGAGTGCTTCTTTTGCATATCTATTTAAGTGAATTCAGACTCTGAATATGTGACATGAGATGTCAACAGCGAATAGCCCTTTGTTTGATATTTATGGATAAAATGAATTAAAAAAAACTTGTCCAATGCATACCATTGACTAGGAATCTGTTGTATGGAAATTTATCAGCAGTTTTACTGAATTTGGTCATGAATATTTCAAGATCCTAATTTGCCTTGTTCTTGGTACCAATCAGTAAGTACTGGGCAAACATCTGTAAACAGTAGTTATTAGGCCATCTGACCATACTTCTTTTGAGGCTCCATACTGCATTTTAGAGATATGCTACAGCCATGTACAGACATTCAGTTTCTTCTGGAAGTGTAGCTGCTCTCCCAGGAGGAACCACAAGTACAAATGTTCAGGACTTTTTTCCCAGAGCAAAAATGGCCACTCCAGGAGAAGAATAACTCGGGAATAACCATAGTTAAATCACTCACAGGATGGTTTTTTCTGGGAGTGTGAATGTCTGCGCACGTTCTAAGACATATATCTTAAATTTAATTTGAATGGCTTTTGATTTTTTTAAAATGTGGATTGCTTTTATTTACAAAATTTAGTGATATGATGCTTTTTAATAAAATAAATTATTGCCTACCTTGATACTGAAACTTTAGTTGAGGTACATTTTTTAAAATTGCACTTGAACTATAAATTCTGCTGTGAAACTCAAATCTTTCACAAAACATTTGACTTTCAGCTGATTTGTAGAACTTGAAAAGGAAAATTTAATAAGGTAGAGCCCAAATGATCTATAGGATTAAGTTCTTTAGCACTCATGAAGGATGAGGGTTTACAAACCAACCCCAAGGGTATATACAGGTGAAGCAGACAGCTGCATTGGACTGATGAGGTGCTTGATCTTACTAGAAAAGTAGCATGCTTAGAAGTGGAAGTTCTTTTAAACAGCTTCATGGCTTGTTGATTTAGTAACCTCTGCAAATTAAGTGGATTGGAAACATTCAAATATGAATTGACCAAGCCAATACATTTTTACTGAATCTTTTTCTTAAAAAAAAATAAATGCAGCATCCTTTAATTGTGGTGTCATAATAAAAGACTATATCTTTACATTTGACCTGTAGATTTATCTTGATACATAGACTGTAATAGTTTTGCAGTCCTGTCTTCTATGCAAGCTGTCTATGCAAGCTTCTGTGCTGGGCAAAGAAGTGCTGCTGCAAAGCTTATTCCACCAGTTCATTCCTGTTCCATGTGCACAACTTTGAGATGGAGTGGCTGCATCAAAGCAGTCCTTAGTGTATGCTGGTAGGCAAGTGGAGCCAGAGAATTGGTCTGGACACAAGCACAGGACGGCTCTAAGGCAGCTGCATTGGCACACTCCTGAAAGCAGGAGCAAGTGGAGAGAGTAGAAATGAAGTGATAGAACATGTTTCATGATGGCATTC